TCAAACGTGGAACATCTAACGGTCCCTGATTGTGGAATCCACAACAGTGAATCACATCTCAGCCTGAAGTGGCTCTTTTCTTCTCAGATAAAAGCTGAGTCTGAGCTGGGGTCAGCCGGACCGGTTAAGGCCATCAGCAGCCCGGTAATCAAACGGGAGCCTGATGAGACCATCAGCAGCTGGATGTGATGGTTAGGCCCGTGGAGAACGGCAGGTACGGGGCTCCGTGATTGGACGGCTGCTGAGTGGCTGCCTTAACCCTTTAAAGCCCGATCCAAGAATAAAACAAAACAGAAAATGTACGTTTTTTTGTTTGAATTCCTTATTTGGCCTTTTAACAAAATATGTAAAAAGAAAAAAGAAAAAATGCATTTTTGATATTAATAATTTATGACTATGCGATAAGTCAAGATTATAAGATAGGATAAGATAAGAGCTTTATTGATCTCACAGTGGGGAAATTCACTGGTCACACATCGGTTAGAGTTCCAAAGGGGGAAAAGGTGCATAAAGTACAAACAGCAAAAACAAACAAATATACAAGGAAGCAACCCAGCGCAGAGATTTGGGTGACTAAAATATGTACAATCATTGATACTCACACACAGTACACATATTAAACAGGTCAGTAACTATAATACTGTATTATATATACATAATAGTGTTTGTGTAGTCTTCTGCCCCCTGTTATCAGGTGTATCTGATTGTGTACAATCGGATTTTGAGCAAAGTTTTTACCAATAAATTATGCAAAAGGTGTCAGACGCAAAACATTTCAGAAACCTTGTGTGGAGTTTCTGGTGTGTTGTCATGTGTTGATTACCTATTGTGTTCACCTGGGGTTCCCCTCCCTCATGTGTTTAAAAAGCCCTCGTTTCCCATGTCCTATGCCAGTGCGTTTTCGTCATTGTTTCGTCTTTCTGTTTTCGTCACCCCTTGCCACGTAAGGTTTTGATTTTTGCACTTTGCCTTAGCCGTGTTTTTGTCACAGCCATGTTTTGTCACAGTCATGTTAACCTTGCTTTGATATTTTGCCATAGTCTTGTTAACTTTATTGCTTTTGCCACAGTCTTGTTAAACTCTTACTCTGATACTTTGCCACAGTTTTGTTAATCTTGCTTTGCTACTTAGTCCATAGTTTTCTCACAGCCTTGTTTTTTAACTATGTCTGCCATCCACTCCTTTTGAGTGTGTTTTTGTTAAAATAAACCCTTTTCACCAATCTCCGCGACTGAGTCCTCCCTAAGATCACCACCCATGACACCGTATGTATCAGATATGATAGGTTTGGCATTACAGGGTTACTGACCTTTAGGGGAGTGGAGTAGAGGCTCTGAGTGCGTGATGGCGGCTCGAGTTCTGTTGTCTTATTTGGAATAATGTAATTAGCCACGCTTCCCTTCCCACACAAAACCTTTCTGGCTCTGCCTGCCGCATGGCTTCATTCCCATCGAGAACCATTTGTTGACACATCCTTCACTTGTAATTCTGAAAGCGTAACGTGATGTGACACAACATGCTTTTAAAACCACGCGGCCTGGGATCAGCAGTCGGGAGGGAGCGGGAGGCTGACCGGGACGGGTCGGGGACAGCAGCCAGGACTCTGAGAGCCGGCCAGCCCTTTTTGGTATTCACGGGGCTCCTGGCCGGCTGCCACCGTAAAGGCTGAGGGAAAACAGGCAGCAGAAGCTAGTCTGCGGAGGCTAATTTGACCAGGATTAGCAGCAGAGAAAACACTCCCAGATAGCAGCGTATCATTCGCTCAGCCCAGAAGGTGATTGGCTGCGATCTGCCACCCCTCCAGGTCCTGTACGCCTCCAGGACTTTAAGGAAAGATCATGTCTGATCCTTCTCACCCTGGTCACAAACTTTTGGAAACCCTCCCCTCTGGCAGAAGGTTGAGGACCATCAGGACCAAAACCTCACGCCATAAAGACAGTTTCAATCCAGCAGCAACTGGCCTCATCAACAAGACCAGTGACCCCCAACTATTCTCTCCCCCCCTCTACCTCACTAATTTACCCAATACTACGTTCAACATTTTCTGGTTTGTCGTTGGACATTCAATATTTTATTTTATTATTTATTATTATTATTATTTATTTAATTTTATTCTATATTTTTATATTTTCATTTCTACATTGTATGTTGTTTCTTGTTTCTCATAGAAGTGGTGTGCACCTAACACCAAATCAAATTCCTCGTAGGTGAAAAACCTACTTGGCAATAAACCTAATTCTGATTTGGTTACGATATTTATCTTTTTGTGCCCTGATCCACTTATGGAGAAAGCAACCAGAGAGCAGAAATGAAACGGCTTTATATGAACTAGCATCACTCACTGAGGCTGACGGGTGTCACAGGATGATTGAAAATGAGCTCTGGACCCAGCATGTGGTCACACTCCTCGTTAGCAGGCCTCTGGGCTTCTTCTTCCTTTTCTTCTTCTTCTTCTTCTTCTACCGTGTAGCGAACGCCCATAATGACCATAAAATGCAAATAGCCGGCCGGCTTGATTAGAATTCTCCAACAGCATTTCCAGCTGCCTGATTCCATCCTAACGAAGATCATTTATTGACACCTTGTCGGAGCGGAATCCAATTCCCCACAAAGGAAAGAGCTTTTAATGGTTTCCAGGAGCCGGGATGCGTGTGGGTGTGTGTCTCCTGCATGACAGCTCTGCTCTTCTCAAAAGGATTTGGGATGGTGAGAGCACAGTCAGCTCTATTGATAAGTTGCCAGATATGGATGAGCTGTCTCTGTGTGAGGCCTCGTGACTTTAAAGACCACTGGAGTCGACCTGTGGCTGAGGGCTGAGAAGCTCAGACTCTGTTACTAGCTACGTTGTTTAGCTAGCGATGATAGCGTAGCGTCTGGAGCCTTCAGAAAG